CGGATGTGCACACACACACTCTCTTAAAAATAAAAAATATAGGCCATGCGTGGTGGCGCACACCTTTAATCCCAGCACTTGGGAGGCAGAGGCAGACAGATCTTTGTGAGTTCGAGGCCAGCCTGGTCTACATAGTGAGTTCCAGGACAGCTGGGGCTACAAGGAGACCCTGTCTCAAAAAGACCAAAAAAAAAAAAAGTACAATCTTTTTAAAAAGGGTCATATATGCATATGCATATAAATTTCATTGCTGCTGGGTACTGAACCGAGGAGCTTATCACATGCTAGGAAAGCACTCTAAAGCCCTAGCTGAAGGGGACTTTTATTATTTTTATGTGTATGAGCATATTGTCTCATGTACGTAGGTAGCTGAACCCGTGTCATGCAGTGCCCTGGAGGTCAAAAGAGGGCATTTGATCCCCTGGAACTGGAGTTACAGCTGGTTCTTAACCTCCATGTGGGTGCTGGGAATCAAACCTGGTTCCTCTGCAAGACCAGCCAGTGCTCTTAACCGCTGAGCCATCTCTCCAGTTCTATGTATAACACATTCATCAGTTATTGCTTGTACATACTTAACTAACAACCACTCCTTTGGAATGGATACTGAGAAAAGTGTAACAAATTTGTATCTTTTTCTAGTCATAAAGGCTGGCCATAAACAAATAACCAACTTCAAAAGCCAACTTGTTGACTAGATAAACCAAAGGGAAAATATTCATTCTTTTGTACTACTAAAAGTTGTAAAAAAAAGTTTCCTTTTCAAGGGCTGTAGTTTAACCTCTAGCATTCACTACTTCCTGACTATTCTGTTTTTCAATTTTTTTAAGTGAATACCAGGAAAATATGTTGTCCAAACTTGTTGGTAGATGCTTTGAAAATGCAAAATGCTTGAAGAAAAAGCCAAATTCATAGTTTACTATCCTCCCCAAACTGTTGAAACAGATTACTGGTTCAGTTCTCATTTGTGTATCCACTGACTTTCTGCTTACACTTGGAATCCTGTTACTATTACATTTTACTTTATAAGGATGTATCTGCAAAATACAGAAAAAATTCAATTTAATGTTGTACAAAAGGGATTACCATTTTCAAGAATTCCTAATAATTTTTCAAACCACAGATTTTAGAATATCAAAAAAGCAGTATTATAAAAGTTACAAAGTGATTTTGTACCTCATTTAAAAATTACTTCATTATAGGTAGGTGTAGTTGTGCACACGTGCAACCCCAGCATTCAAGAGGCTAAGGTAGGAGGACTACAAGTTCCAGACCAGCTTTTAGGAATTCATAATTAGACCCTGTCTTAAAAAGAAAAAAAACCCACTTCATTATTAGGGAAAATATTATGTAATCATTGAAGACTATTTAAGCTCACGAGTGGAAACAGACTGTGGTAAATAAACTTCAGAAACACAACAATTTCTGTTATCTTGCTAAGTATACTTCAGAGGTATTGTTTCTTCCCTATTCACTATAAAATAACATACTACTAAACATAATGCCAAGTTTCAATTTCCCCTTGATACTTACTAAATGATTTTATTTTGTTGACAAAGCAGAAAAAAATCTGCATAAAGTATGCTGAAATACTTTCTATAATCAATAGCTTAAAATACTGAGTATAGGAAAAATGAACGGCTTGTAAAACAGCAAAAAGCAAGATTTACAAGGCTATTAATCAGTAGGTCAGGGTACTATGTATCCTGGAAAATCAGGACACTCACAAAATTGTCTTAGTGAATTTTTTTTAAAAAAACCATGGAATGTGAATTAGAAAAACAAGAAATTTAGGACAACTTAAAATGAAAAATGAAGTCTATCTTAAAAAGACAACAACAACAACAACAAAAACTACCTCAAAAATCACACCTAAATTCTTTCAACTTTGGGAAACCAGCTCTAACAAAGCAGCTCTAACAAGTGCTATCAACTAAAGGTTAGTAAAGTACCACATACTGATAGGTTATTATTATGATAACCTCCTAATAACAGGGATCTATAAAACAAAGTATCATCCCAGGAAATGCCAACTCTACATTTAAAAAAAAATTGAGGGCACTTGCAGAAGAGAAATAAAGATCATACAGTATACCTTGTAATGTCTGCTCTGGAGGTACCACAAGGCATAACATTTACGTAAGGAAGAAGGCAGGCCCATTTACAAATCCCAACTGATGAGGGCCAGGAACACAGGATGTCACAAACAGCCAAAATGTAGAGAATAAGCATCTACAGAGTGTAGGTCAGGACTCCTATATTAAACTTTTCCCTGGTTCAGGGACCATTGTGGAAGAGGGGGTGGAAAAATTGTAAAAGCCAGGGAGGAGGTGCATGACCCTATGGAAATAGAGTCCTGCAGGCTCCTGGGACCCTTCTCATATGAACCTACGCAATGGTGTCACCAAGCACAAGACCCATGCAAACTTAAGCAGACAAAAACAAAGCACAGAACTGTGGAAATGGGCAGCAGGCCCCAATCTTAGTCAAAGAATTATTGACAGCTGATTACTGCTGGGTGAGGAAGAGCTGATCTTTTTAAAAAAATATTTTATTTATTATTTTTATTGTCTGTGTATGAGTGTATTGCCTGCATGTATGAGAGTGCACCCATGTTGTGCAATGCTGCAAAGATCAGAAGAGGGCTCCAGATTCCCCTAGAACTGGAGTTAAGGACAGTGGGTAGCTGCCATGTGGGTGCTGGGAATCGAACCTGGGTCCTCTGCAAGAGAGGTCAGTGCTCTTAACCGCTGAGCCATCTCTCCAGCCAAGCCATCTCTCTAGCCCGAGCTGATCTTCTTTGGGACTCTAGATTGGCTGACTAGACCTCAGAGGATGAACTTGCACTGAGGGACGTCTGGGGATACTAACTTGACATGATAGACCTTAACACAAACGACAGAGCGTATGAATTAGTGTGGGGGGGGATGTTGGGAGGGAACCAGTGGGGAAGGGGGTATAAAAATCAAGATGTTCTATATAAAATACACAAAAATTCAATAAAGAATTAAAAACTCAAAACAATGTCACAACTGAGGGAGGCAGGCAGCACAGTGCACACTTCCTGTGGCCACCCAAAGACCATGAACATACAAGAAAAGGAGGAGAGGGCCTACAATATTGAGATCAAATTACTTGGAGAAGAAAACTTCCTGAAGGAAAAGATTATGGTACAGTCTTCTTAACTCCTGCCAGCACCATCAGAAGTTCGAAGTAAATTAAAACTCAATGAGCAAAAACTGGCAATCGCTCCAAGCCATGGAAACAAGGTTTGAAATCATGGGTTTAGATTGTAACATCACCTAAGAAGCTCCAACTCTTGAAATTCTCAGTAAGATGGTTCTCTCTGCTCTTAACATCCCTATTAATGCTAATCTCTTACATCTATCAGCTGTTTTTACAGTTTAGGAAATGCTTTCACTTTTATTTCTCAATAGCAATCCAATACTATTATCTTACTTTCTCACACAGCCTGTAGTTTTTCTTTCATACACTGAGCCGCTTATTTTACAGAAGAAACTCAAGGAGATTAAGTCACTTCACTAAGGACAAGCAGATGGTAGGTAAGGGGCTTGGAAGACTGCAGGACTCTACTCAGGTAATAACAGGCACTGCCATCCAACCTTCAAAAACTTCAAAGTACATCACTCCAGGGGAAGCAACCTCACTCAACTGTACAAGACAGAAGCTCAGTCTCCGCCCAGCAGTTCTGCCTGGGTCTCCTTCCCTAAGAACAGGGAAAGCGAGGCAGACAGCAGGCAGAAGCAGTGCCAAATCTGGAGGCTCGCGGGGAGTGCTGGTGGGACAGATCCCGCGTCCTACACTGGCGCTGAGCCCAAGGCAGCAGAATCCTGCGTCTGGGACGCCTGGTCAGTCTCTAGGGCGAGAAAAGGACCCTGGCCATTCCAGTTGGCTCTTACTATTCCGCACTCGGACTTTCCTATGGTAAGAACTGCCCAGAAATGCCCCTCTCCCCAAGGACTTTACCTAATTTTTAGCTCGGACCTCGGGAGTAGGAGAGTCCGCTAGGTCTAGCTCCTGACCCTAGCCCCTCTCCGTGGCGTACCCTTAAGGACGTCACTAAACCTCCTCGGGAGAGGTCTGCCTCCCACACAAACCGCAAACTCCCCAAAGCACACCCCTGCCCAGGGCGTGCACCCCTCGATCCCTTCTGTCCTGGGCAGCCCAGAGGGGCGCCCCTCCATACCAGGAGCCTCCCCTGGGAGTACCTGCCTCTCACCTGGGCCCCGTTAGCCGCAGTCTCCTCGCGGGGGGTGACCCCAGGACCTCCTCCAGTCAAGATCCCCCAAAGGGGGAACACCCTCTTCCAGGAACCGCTTCAGGCGCCTCCAGCGCGGGCCTCGGAGAACATTCGGGCTGCTTCCCGGGCTCTGCCCAACGCCACCCTCTCCCAAGCCCCTGCCGGCGGCCGGCTGCGGCTCCAGTTGGGTCTCTCCGGCCCAGGCTCCGGCTGTTGCTCCCCTCCCTCACAGACGTTCCTACCCCTGGGGCTCCCTCCCGGACCACGTCCCCAAGGGGCTTCCCAGAGCAGCACAGACAGGCTGCAGCACTGACTTTCTCTAGCTCCTGGGCCCACCGGAGTGAGGGGACGGCGACAGCGGCGCGACTCCTTTGTGACAGGTCCCAGAGAGCGGTAAAGATGGACGCGAGGACACGGCGCTGCCATTACGCGCAGGGCCCACCCCCGCTTCGCACCGCCCCGGCTGTCCCTCAGTCCCCTAGGAAACGCCCCTTCCTCGGTGGTAAGCTCTCTTCCTGGCAGCCAATCACCGCTGAAGAGTGCCATCACGTGATACCGCGGCTAGGCCCGCCCCCCAGGAAGAAATAGACCAATCCCGTTGCCGAAGGATGAATGGCCCAATCAGGTCTCTCCGTCTCGGTGCTGGGGGGACCGGATTTCCACGAGACGCTCGTGGAGGAAGAGAGCTGTTGATTGGGCTATGGCGCCGGAAGTGTGGTGGAACTATGTTGTGGCGGTGAGGAACCGGAAGCCTTGAAGGGTCAAAAGGAATACAAAAGCAAAGTCTGTTGGGTTCCTTTAAGCCGTGTCCTCTCTTTCTTTTCTATTCTTTTAAAAACGAGTGGCCTTGGCGGCGGTGGTTTGAGGTGGGCGCTGCAAGGCGAGGGAATCTCGGCTCCCACGCTCTGGTAGGTGAATGCGGCCAGGGTCCACGCGGCGCGGCGAAAACCTCGGCTTCTCGGCTGAAGAGATGGTGAACTGCAGCCGGAGTTAGCGTTAGGGCCCAGGCTGGTCTTCGTCGGCGCGCTTGCCGGGTGTCGGGAGTTCGCCGGGGCATCCTGAGCGGAGGGGAGGCAGCCTGCAGGTCCGCGTCTGGGTTGCGCCGGGACGCTTCCGACCCTTTGGTGCAGGCCGTGAACTGTCGAGCTCTTATGGGCGTTCAGCACCTTTCTGCTAGCTGGGGCCATCTAGGCCTTCGGTTGGGAGCGGTCTTGGAACAGCTCCACGCTCCCTAAAAGACGTGGGACTTCTGATTGGGAGTGCTTTCCGGATGGGATACACATTTGTTGTATACCATGTCCCAGTTGCTGAACCTGGCTCTTTTTTTTCTGTTAGGAAACAGGCAGTGTACCCGTTTTATCAAACGGAACTGAGGCGGGGAGTTGATACAATCTTGTTTGAAAGTTAGTACCCCCCTTAGGCCTTGCGAGTGTCAGTCCACGCAGAGGGGAAGAGGAGACCTATTGTTCATAGAGGTTCATAGATTGTTTCTTAGATGAAAACAAAATGTCAGTCTTGTAAGCCATCCTCAGATCGCCTCTGATTGGTAGGTGGAATGGGACACAGGAAGCCCGATGTGAACCTGTTGGTTAGGATTTACAGTGACTTCTTGGATACAGTCTGAGAGATAGGTTTGGTTGATTGTTCAGTTATTTGATTTATTGATGTGTTCCTAGGAACACCATAAAATTATTGGTGGAGTTAAGCATGGTAACTTGTGCCTGTAATTCCAGGACTCCAAAGGCTAAGGCAGGAGGATCGACCGTTGGAGGCCAGCCTGGCCTAATAGCAAGCGTCTCAGAAAAAAGAAAAAACAAAACAAAGCAAAACAAACACAATTAATTGTTTGGCAGGCACTGGTTTGAAATCTTTGAATCTGTAGACTTTGATAAAGGGAACTGAATTGAAATAAAGCAGCTTAGGTATTCCAATTAAAGCCTGAGATGACCTATGAAGAGTGTAAGGGTCTGAAAGTAGGATGCCCAGTTTTCTTCCTCAGTTGAAATCCTAATGCCTTTAGGAGCAAACCCTTCCTCGTTTTCCAAAAGGAAGCATTCTGTGAAGACCATTTGCCCAGTTGTCAGTTTTCACTTTGACAATCCAAGGATCTTGATGTTTGGCTAGAGTCAAGCTTCTGCTTCAGAAATTGAAAACCACCCATATCTGGTCAGTGAAGTAATTTAATAGCATGATTCAATTGTAGGCTTGACAGCAGTGTAATACGCCTTTGGGGTGGCAAGATTAAGCATTTTCAGTGTGTTCACCTATTTGACATAACTTGTCTTCATTTTTAATATGATCAGTTTTACTGTACTAGAGAAATTTTAATACTTGTTTATTCTTATGTGTATGTGTGTGTGTGCATGTGTTTTTATGTGAACCACGTGCATGCAGGTGCCTGAAGAGGCCAGAGGTGTTGAATCCCCTTGAGCTGGAGTTTATAGTCAGTTGTAAGCCACCTGATGTGGGTTCTGGGAACTGAATCCAGGGTCCTCTGGAAGAACAGCAAGTGCCCCTAACCACCGAGCCATCTCTCCAGTCCCTACTTAAATATTTATTTAATTTTATTTAAGTTTGTATGTGTCTGTGTGTGTGCATTATGTACAGGTACCTGCGGAGGCCAGAAGAGGGCGTTGACTCCTCAGGACCTGGAGTTGCAGGCACTTGTGAGCTGCCTAATATGAGTGCTGGGAACCAACTTGGGTTCTCTGGAAGAGCAATAAGCTTTTAACCACTGAGCCATCTCTCCAGCCCCAGACTTCCACCTTGTTTGAGGCAGGATTTCTAGTTAACTGCTGCGTGTGTTAGGCTATCTGGCCCACAAACTTTCAGGAATTCTCCTCTGTCTGCCTCTCATCTCCCCTGCAGGAGCACTAGGATTGCAGATGTGAGCTGTATGTGTATGCCTTTATGTGGGTTCTGGAGAGTCACACCCATGTTTTCATGCTTGTACTTGGGCAAGTACTTTACCCTCTGAGCCATCTCCCCAGCTGTATTATTATTTTTTTATTTCCCGCCTTTTAGGCATAGAAGTGAAAGATTGGTATCAATACTTCGGCTATTTTTCTCCAGAAGTGAAAGCCCCCTCACTCCTTGATTGTGATTTTAAAATGTGAAAGTTTTAGCATATTTTAAAGTGAAATGGAGATCTTCTTTAAAGGGTTAAAACACATTCAGTTTTATATCTTACAGTGTTTATACTGAGTTCAATATTGTATAATGGTATTAATTCAACTGTGAACCTAAAAATTTACAGCCACTTTTGAAAGAGATGTATCCATGCTCTGGAGTGTGTTACTGACTACATTAAGGCTGTTATGAAATGCTTCTTCTAATCATGTGGTTATTAAATTAAAATTTTTTTTAAATAATTCTTCAAAGCATAAAAAAAGTAGAAGTTTTGATTGTCTACACTTAAGTGGAGGATGATTTTTCTACATAAACTTTCTAATAATTTCTCTATTCAGTGTCCCAGCACTGATCAGAATTAACTTCCCTGATGCTTTATTCTAGTCTTCCTTAAATGAACTTAGTTCTTAGCTTCCAGTCCTCTTACAGTATTAACTGTGTCCTGCATCTCCTTACATTGCTCATATGCCACATTCCTTAAATTGTCTCATTGACTGTAAGTTCCAGTTAGTACCTAGTACTATGCCTTGAAGAGATTTGCTTCAAAAATAGAAAAGAAAGAAACTAATAGCCTTTTGTCACTACTATAACGCAAGGCCATTTTTGATCTTAGAGTGGAGTTATAGACAGATGGGTGTGCAGGAGATAGAGTAGGTTCTGGCACATGGGTTGGGTTCCAGAGGAGCACAGATGGCAAAATAGTTTAGAATCAGAGAAACCCTTGACATTTTCTTAAGAGAGGCACCATTTTTAATACCCAGTACTGAAAAGTTTTGATATGGTTAGGTCTTCCCTCTAGCTTTCTGGGGATGGGGCTGGGGAGCACACTACCAAAAAAATTGTTGTTTTTCTTTCTGTGAGTTCCAGATGAAGTAATTGGCCTCCATTCACTTGTCACAATGTGTAGCAAAATACACTTAAAATTAGAATCACAGTTAGGGAATTGTTTATGTTCTAAGAGGTATGTGTGAAGTGGGGAGCTAAAGACTCACTTAAGGAGTGAATGTTTAAATTAGTTCTCTTTCCTTTAGTGTAAAGAGATGAAATAAATGCATGTGAGAATGCCACCTTGTGCTGTGGAAAGATTTGTGCGCACGCATACACGTACGCACACACGTTATTTGACATATAACTGTGTATGTTTCTTTGATGCCTCAAAAGTTACTACAAATTGCTCTTTATAATAAACAGATTCAATTACTTAGGCTGTAATCTCAGTTGAGATTCATCACGTCTCCTTTGCTACTGTAGTATATTAAATAAACTTAAGTGGTAGAAGATTAATTTTATTTTGCCTGCTAATTGCTTTATCTGGTAATAAATGCTACCAATTTTTTAAAAGTAATTGTTATTCTCTGAAGAAGTTTTATAGTATAGCAAAAGTTGGCTGGGTCTAAATTTCTGTTGCTTGGTGGAAGTGTTTTCTGGCCAGAAAATGTTTTTTGGTGGTTGTTGTTTAGTTGGGCTAGCCAGTAGGTAACCTGCTCTTAGTTACCATCTTTTTTTTTTTAAGATCTAGTTATTTGGGGTGGGGGGTGGGGGGGTGTAGGAGTGCACACATGCCTGTCAAGCACATGAAGACCAAAAGAGGGTGTAGGGTATTCTCTTTCATTCTCCACTGATTCCTTTGAGGCAGGGTCTCTTCCTGATCCTGGGACTAAGCTAGGTGGAAGTTCCAGTGATCCTCCTATCTCTACCTCCTCTGAGCTGTGGTTACAGAAGTGTGCCCAATATGTGGCTTGTTATGTGGATACTGCAATACAAACTCTGGTCCTCATGATTTTGCAGCAAATGCTCTTAACCACTGAACCATCTCTTCATCTCCCTTCTTTGTGTTGAAGTACAGGATAACTTACACATTAAAGGGGCTGGAGAGATGGATCAGCAGTTAAGAGCACTAACTGCTCTTGCAGAGAACCCAGGTTCGGTTTCCTGCAATCGCAAGGTGGCTAACAGTCCTCTGTAACTCCAGTTCCAGGGGATCCAACACCCTCTTCTGACCTCCATAGGCATTGCCTGCATCTGGTATACCTAGATATATTCAAGCAAAATACTCGTACACATAAAATGAAAAATTTTAATCCCCCAAAATTAGAATTAAAACATTGGAAAGCAATAAGCCATATATTTACTGACAAAAATGAATTGGCCCATTTTTGCTACCTTAAGTGCAGCCTTACAACATAGAAATCTGTTTCTCAGGGACTGGAGACGTGACTCAGTGGTTAAGGATACTGGTTGTTCTTGCAGAAGACCTGGGTTTGACTCCCAGCACCCACATGGCAGCTAACAGCTGACTGTAACTCCAGTCCCAGGGGATCCGAAGCCTCTTCTGACCTCCACGGGCATTGCACGACACGGGTGCACTTACCTACATGCAGGCAATACACGCATACACATAAAATAAAAATAATAAAATTTAAAAAAAAAAGACAAAAAATTAAAAAAAAAAGAAATCTGATTCCCTTAGTGTACTTTTACATGTAGGATCTAATTTTAGAATTAGAAGGGTATGGTGGCCAGTGTGATGTAAACACAAGTATTTTGACATCATAAAATTCAATTCCATGGGAAAACTGATCTGATTAACTTGCATCATGGCACTAGTTAAGTGGAATAATTTTTCAATTTTGTTTTTTTTTTTTTTTTTTTTTTGAAGCCGGGTCTCCCTGTATCCCCAGCTGTCCTGGAACTCACTATGTAGACCAGGCTGGCCTTGAACTCACAGAGATCTGCCTGCCTCTGCCTCCCAAGTGCTGGGACTACAGGCGTGTGCCAC